TATAGTAGGAGAGCAACAAACAGAATAATTATATTAAGTTTGTGTAACAGCAATACAATTGCGGCAACTGGATGCCGCAATTGGTGGTTTTTTCTTTGAATAAATAAAGAGAAAAACATGTGTTATTTGTATAAAATAGAAGAAATATATTTATTATTAATATAAATTAAAAAGATATACTTTTATTATATCTCCTTCTTTATCTTGTGCATATTTCATCTTCATTGCAGCAGTTGAATCCCAGCGGAAAACAACGGCGGCAGCGACCGCTGCAACGAGTGCAGCAGCCACACTTTTTGAGACCATGGAGGCAAAAAAAGAAGAAATAAACAATTAAAATAAATAAAACAATTTAATTTTCGTTTTTTAATTCACTTTTCTCCTCATTTTTGCTTTTTAAACACACACAACAAACCACATGCACACACGTGCGCTCGTCCGCCCGGTGGGGCTGCGCAGGCGGCGGGGGGGGGGAGAGAAGAAAGCAATATATAAATGTCTACGGGGAAAGCTAGCAGTAATTTAATTCTTTTTATTTATATCCTTTTAATTGTTTTATTTTTTCAACTTGAAACGAAAACAACTGATCCTTTTACTCGCTTCTCCCGTGTTGTTGGGTCGTTGTGTGTGGCGACTGTATCGGTAGTGCACAGGCAGTACAGTGGATATCTTGCGCGGCCTCTAGAGGCCTAGCATCACAAAAAAAAATAATTAATAAAAAATATTTCAGGAATTTGGGAGTTTTAGATAGAAAATATTTATAAAAGGATCAGAGTGCTCGTCAGCCTGCAGCACCGGCTCGGGGGCTGCTGGTGCTGGTGCTGGTGCTGGTGTTGTGACCCTCAGCGAGGGTAAAGAAGAGTTCTATACTTCTGTGTTTTTCTTTCAGAAATATAAAAAAAACTTGAATTTATTTTAAATATTTAAGGTTTTTAATAGTGGGAATTCAGAGAATCATTTGTTTAGAGGGCTAGATGCAGAGTATACACCTACTGCTGTTCTCTACACCAACCGAGTCCGCCCGTTCCGCTGCTAGTGATAAAAGCAACAGAAAAATAAACAAAGAAAAACATTATTCAATAAATTAATAAATTTAATTTTGTTAATTCATCAATAAAGCAAAACCATTCGCTAATTAAAACACAAATGTGCTGCAGAGAAAAAACACACAGCCGGGATAGCATCGACGTGCAGACGGTCTAT